ATGGCTATGTCATTGGACTCCCATGTAGTCGACCACAGTTGGAGTCCTGGACCCAGTGGCTTAAAACTCAGGCCGGGCGCGTGTACGTGCGTGCCCAAGATCCCGAGAGGAGAATGGAGGAGAAGGGATTGCAGCATGGGCATCAACCCGGGGGCGATTTCTCGCTTTCTTTCTCTCTGTCTCTGTCTTTCTGGCGAATAGCAAAAACCTCTCGGGGGGAAAAAAAAAAAAAGCCAGAAGTGACCATGTAAGAATATTGCTTGAGAAACAATACATAAACCAGTTTCACTTGCATGTAAATCAAGAAAAAGTTAAGAAGTTGGAGACTCCTTAAAAACCGAACAAAGAGGGAACCAGCAGTTAGCGTAATGGCTATGTCACTGGACTCCCACGTAGTTGACCACGGTTCGCGTCCCAGACCCAGTGGCTTAAAACTCACACCGGGCGCATGTGCGTGCGTGCCCAAGATCCCGAGAGGAGAATGGAGGAGAAGGGATTGCGGTGTGACCATCCCCTCTAGGGGGTGATTTTAAAAAACAAACAAACGAACAAACAAAGAGAATTTGGGTTTTGGACAGAGTGGGTAGTGCATAGACATGGACAGCAGAAAAACAAGTGAGGTCTGTCCTGGGGGGTTTTGGTTGTGTTTTTTTCTGTTGCTGTTTAAGATGGTGTCTCATTATGTCACAGTCCTCTTGTTTCACAGCCTCTCAGTAGTTGGGACCAAAGGCACATGCCACCACAACTGACTCTTCCAGATAGGACCTCATTATGGTGCCCACACTTCAAGCTCTTGGTCCTGTCTCAGCCTCCTGAGCAAGTCTTTGGAATTCCAGATGCCTGCAACCACACCCAGTTTTCAGGTTGGATCAGGAATTGAACCCAAGACTCTCATGTGACCCCAGCCTGTGGAACCAAAGTGTGTTTTTCTTTTTAATTTGTTTTTTTTTTAATTTGCTATAGGCACGTATTCTCACCAGAGAAAAAGATAAGGAAAAAGTGAGAAAGCAATCCTGGGGGGAATAACCACACCACAATCCGTTCTACATTCTCCTCTAGGGATTTTGGACACATACATATGCACTCCACATGTTTTACAAGCCATGGGCCTGGTACTCAAACCACACAGTCAGTCATGTGGGATCCAGCCACCTTAATCACCATGCCATCGAGTTGGCCCCCAAAGTGTATTTTAACAGGACCACCAAGAGCAGATTCAAGCTCAGGATAGTGGAACCAAACTTTTGAACCAACTTTTCCCCTTCTCATTAGCTCTGTTTTGAAAAAATTCTCTTGACAGACTATTAACGCAGACATAAAAGGCAGAGCACTTAGCATTAGTCCTTTTGTAATGAAACCAGAAAACAAGAGGCAGAAATGAAGGAAGAAATGATAGGATTTAGAGGTTATGGAGAGAGACAAATGGATAAAGAAAGGAGTCAACCTTTCAAGGACTTGGTATTTAAAACTTATACACAGGCCCCAAGCGGTGAACAAGATAGTCATACTTCTTGCTGTCATGGGACCCAGCAAGATAACTGAAGTTTCTACCCAAAGAAAATCATGTTGCTATTGACAAGCGTTAAGTGTGGAAGGAATGAAAAGTTGGATCGTTGAGCTTTAGGTGACGTACCACAGAACAGAGTTAGTGGTAGAAAATGTGGAACTGAAACTCAGGCTGGAAACAGCTTTAAACAGTGAAGAAATGAGAGGAACAACCAGAAAGCCAGCCAAACCAGGGTTGTAACATGGTATCTCAAAAACCAGTCAAGTCATGCTACTAAGTACTGCTGAAGTCAAAAAAAAGGAGGAACGAGAAAGCAAACTGGGTCTGCTCACTCTAAAAGCAGTTCCTATGTTTGTGACTTTACCACCAGGAACAAATGTGCAGACTAGCCCCTGCTATTTGCCTGCATTCCACTGTTATCCTGTGTCACTTTGCCCTTCATTGCGTTTACTAGAAGGTAAACACGATGGGAGCAAACATCTACTCAAGTTTAGTGGCACCGTTCTCAACAGCCTCCTTTGTTCCAAGAGATGAAGAGCCCCTGAATATCTTTACGTTGGGATATACACGCTACACACAGA